GGGGGGGGGAGAAATAATAATTATTTCGCTTTTACCAAAATTTTCAGTCTTATGAAATCAATTTGGAGGTGCAGCATGAACAAGCCAACTATGCAAAGAAGATCTAACGCGACAATACAGCACATCTATCAGCTGTGTCCCGCTTGTGCGAATTATCTTCTTGTCTTACTCGATCTAAGTGCTGCCTTTGATACCATCGATCATTCAATTTTGATCAAGGGGTTAGGCCATAGCTTCGGCCTATCTGGGACTGTTCTTGAATGGTTTGAATCCTATTTGTTTAATCGTACACAGTCTGTACTTGTAAATGGGGAAATGTAATCCATTTTCAGCTTGCAATTTGGCGTGCCTCAAGGGTTCGTGCTCGGACCACTCTTATACACACTATAAACAAAGCACTTAGGTTCAATAATTAGAAAGCACGAAATTAACTACCACAGGTACGCGAGCGACACTCAGCTGTACAAGTCTGTTTTACCCACAAATTTCAATTGTCTAGTTACCATCATGGAAAAATGTATTGTGGAGGTAAAAAAAAAATGGTTGATATCAAACAGACTTAAAATGAATGATGATAAGACTGAAGTTCTGTTTTGCAATGCCAAACCAGGGCTATTGTTTTGCAATTTTGACCATATATGTATAGGAAATGATAACATCTTTTTCACAGATAAAGCGAAAAATCTAGGAGTTTATTTTGACTGCAAACTTTCTAATTTATTTAGAACTATGCAGAATAGGACAAATGTCAACATATCTTAGTGTTAATTCCATCAAAACCATCGTCTCTTCTTTTGTCCTTTCACGTCTAGACTACTGCAATTCTTTGTTTGGGAACTTTCCCACTTAAACGTTAAATAGGTTACAGCGACTCCGAAACCAAGCTATAACTTCAAATTATAATCAACGAAACACTCACATTTTTCCCAGGCCCCCGAAGACATTCCATTCGTCCCTTTCGAACACTTCCACCGTAAGAAAGGCGTCTTCGCCAGTCACATCAAACAAAACTTTCACGGGAACCTGGAAATGGCGGAGGCGAGGAGGGTCATGGGAGTTTATGACAACAACATGTTCGCTACTGCCTGGATCACCTCGTCGCTGATGGAAGCTTATCTGTACAGTGGCGCCCCCAAACCGTCCACTAAACAGCTGAATATGGCGATAGACGTTAGTATTATTGATATTGATACTATAAATAGCCATTGTAGTGAGTACTATTATAGTTATTAGCGTGAATACTACTGTATACCAATTGGCGTGACTACTTCACATGGCTATTGGTGTGAGTAATGGCCATTGACGTGAGTACTGTATACAACCACTGAAAGGAGTACTTTATCGAGCGATTGATGTGAGAATTGTACATAGCTGCTGCTTCCGTGGGTGTTATATATTTTTAAATTTACTTAGCTATTGAAGTGAGCATACCCATTTTATGTAACCCAACCAAATCTTCCAGTATATAATTGTTCAAGACGGCTATACACTCCCGTGCCCAATCCTCGACTCATTTCCCCCTCTCGACTCCTCATTCCAGCCCCTCTCCCCACACCCCCCCCCCCCCCCCCACCCCCCACCCATACATACATACACACACACACATACACATACATACATACACATACATACATACACACCCAACTTCCCAACCCCTCCCACCTTCCCCACCTCCTCTCCCTTTCTATCCAACTCCCCCCTGTCACCTTCTTTTCTTTCCTTTTTTTCCCCTCTCCCCATTCCCGACCCCCTCATCCTGCTCTCTTCACAACCCACATCTCCCCTCATTGCCCACAGCTGGCAGTACCAACTCCTCAGTGAATGTGGTACTGCCACTGATGTGCCCTCAAAGGGAGTATAACGTTTGTAAGTTGTAGAAACTTCAGTTTGTTTAGCTATAATTGACTTTTAAAAATAGACACATTTGTTCATTTTTATGGATATTATTCATTTGCATACTGCTGTCCAACACTAGCTTAATTTCAACTGACTTTTTTTCTGTCATATTCATAGGCACTAGTTGATAGAAGACAATCTACTTAAAAATATGTAAGCGTCTGGTCTTTTCACTTACAAATCCGATTTATTATGCACATTTAGAAATTTATTTTGAAATCATTAAAGGAAGCGCAGGTAATTAGTTTTTCATGACCAAATCCACCAAATTCGAGTGGCTAAGGGGGAAAAAAAGAGTTTGGGAGGGTGCAGTGTAGGGCGGTGTTCTGCAAACACAAACGACATCCCCGCGAGATCAGCTCACTGCCGCTCTAGTTGTGGGGTCTGGAGGATTGGCGAAGGGTTTGGAAGGGAAAACGACATAACTAAACAAAACAGTATTCTACAATAGATTTTTATTCGTGGGTGGTTGGCATGTGCTCTGATATGGCTGAACGAAGTTTGGCGACCCCGTTCTACAGTTTAGACACCTCTTTCTGTTTCCTCTTTTGTCCCTGCAGTCAATGGCTGATCACCACGACAAGAACAAGGACTACGACAATTCTCTGATGACCTTCTGGGAACAGATTTTCAACAAGAACACTTCTTATTACCAGTCTACACCTTACAATCTGTTGGTATGTAATGGGTACATTATGATGACAGTCAGGGGGGGGGGTAGAAACAGAATAGTTATGGATGCTACTATTATATGGAAGGTGGGATAGAAACAAAGGTAATGGCTACATTCTTGTGATTGCCCGGGGGGGGGGGGGGGGCTGAAAGGTTATGGCGGCAATTTTCTGGTAGGTGAGAGAGAAATTTAGAAAGGTTGTTGCCACGTCTTTATCGATGATGGCATAGAAATATAGAGGCTGTTAATACGTTCTTGTAGTTGATTGATAGAAACAGAAAGGTTCTGGCTACATTTTGGTGGTAGGTAGGATATGAACAGAAATGTTAAAAGTACGTTTTTCTAATTATGGCTACAATAATGCTGTGATAGGTGATACAAATACAGAGAGATTGTGATTGCATTTTTGTAGTAGATGGGACACAAACAGATACAATTGTAATAAGAAGGATAGAAACAGAAAGGACATGGCTTTTTACTTCATTTTAAACAGATTTTCCTCGTAACTCCGACCTATAGCATTTCACACAAAAAATGTTGTATACAAAAGTTGATGTTTTGGGGTTTGTTTGCTTGTTTGTTATGTCTTTTCTGGATTTTTTTAAAATTTGGTTTTATATTGTCAAATACAAACCAGTTCACACTTTGTTGAATGACAGTTCGTTTCGATTTTGGTGAACATTCTTTTGAAGGTTATTAAAGCTGGCTCCTTCCCTCTCTCCCCCCCTTCACTCCTTCCCCTCCTCCATCCTAATCCCTCTCTTCCTCATTACTCTTTTCCTCCTCTCCTTTCCCTCTCTTTTTTCTCCTCTCTTCTCCTCTCCTTCCACGCCTCCCTTTTCTCGTCTCTTCTCCCTCCCTGCTCTCTTTTTTCCTCTCTACCCCCCCCCTCCCCCGCTACCCACACACACACACCATGCTTTTTCCCATTTCCAGGAAATTTTCAAGGAAGCGGACAAACTTCCCACGGAGGCTATCGAGGCTCTGCTAGAGAAACTGGGGCTGGGCTCTTTGGCGGAAGCCATTAAGCAAATCCTTGAAGGAAAGTAAGGGCCGGTTGGACGTTATGACTTGTGGTTGTTACTGTTGCTGTTGTTGCTGTTTTGTTGTTGCTGTTTTGCTGTTGCTGCTGCTTCTACTGCTGCTGCAGCTGTTGTTGTTGCTGCTGCTGATGCTATTGTTTCTCCTGCTGCTATTCTCACTTTTGTTGTTGCTACTTTTCTTCATCTACATTATAGGTATACGTTTGTTTGATGGTATGTGGCATCTATGTTTGTGTATGTGTATGTGCATGTGTGTGTGTGTGTGTGTGCATATGTGTGTGTGTATGTGTGTGTGCGTTTATGTGTTTGTATGCGTATATATGCGTGTGTTTGTGTGTGTGTGTGTGTGTGTGTGTGTGTGTGTGTGTGTGTGTGTGTGTGTGTGTGTGTGTGTGCATGGTGTGTGGAGTGTGGGCCGGTTGGACTGTTGTTGTTGCCGTTGTTGATGTTGTTGTTGTTGTTGTTGTTGTTGTTGCTACTGCTACTGTTGTTACTACTGCTGCTGCTATTGCTGTTGTTGTTTTATGTGGTATGATTGGATTTTTAATGTCTTATTGTTGTTTGTGTGAAGGACGTGTGATTACATGTATTTTTCCATAGAGACGGATACGTGTATATGAATTATAGTTTCGTTTATCTGTGAGTAGGGGTGAGTAGATGCTTCTTCTTTCCTATGAAACATCTATCGTCCTAATCTCCCCTTCTTCTTTTTTATGTTTGTTACTCTCTTGTGACACCTCTGATCTTCTGGCGCTCATATGACCTTATGCAGTTGCGAGCGCCGTAAAACCTCTACTAAAACTAAAACTAGGGGTGTATACTTGTATGTATTGAGGTTTCGTTTATATGTCCAGGGGCTTTATCGTGGTCGAGAGGTTACAGTGTTTGCCTCTTATTCAATAGGTCACGGGTTCGAATCCGGAGACAGGGACGGAACTTATATATTCTTCTCTAAATGTTCTTCTTTCACATCCTTTCCTGCTCTCTAACAAGGTTCTGCCGTCTGCTTTCATCTCCACTTCTGCCCCACCCCCTCACCTCCTTTGTCACCTCCTCTGGGATCCTGACTCTTTCTGCAGTCTTTCTACTGCATCTACTTGGCTCCTTCTTACTGTTGTCTTTCAGCCACACCCCTCATCTTCCGGTAGATAAGATCTACACCTTGCATTCTCGGACAAGGGCAAAAAATCTCGGAGGTCTCGCGTGCAAGTTGCGCGCTTTAAAGATCCCCTGGTGGGCTAAAATCGATAAGAGTAGTCGGTCGCCAAAATTTCCTTCCAACCGAAAAGGTTTAATTTGTCCCGCGTCGTAAAACATTTACAAAAAATAGTTTATTTGTCCTTAGGGATAGACAATATATAGTGTGGTTTTGTTTATCTGTCACTAGGGATAGACGATATGATTAATGTATTGTGGTTTCGTTTGTATGTCCTTAGTTTAGTTTAGTTTTAGTAGAGATTTTACGGAGCTCGCAACTGCATAAGGTCATATGAGCACCAGAAGATTAGAGGTGTTACAAGAGAGTAACAAACATAAAAAAGAAGAAGGGGAGAAAACGACAATAGATGTTTGATAGGAAAGAAGGAGCAAACCACACCAGAGCACCCGCCAACCACCCACTTTGTATGTCCGTAGGGACGGATACATGAGAGCCTTCCACATACCGCCAGACTTTGACGACACTTTCGTTAACATGGGACTGGGTTCTCTCCTGTACGCGGCAAAAACAGACTTCCCTGACGCTTGGAAGAATTGGAATAACCAGAACAAAAACCTTACCTCTGGTAAATCTTTCGTACTCAGGCGTTTAAAACTCATGTGCAAAAATATAAGGACGGGCATGCTGAGTGTTTGTGAGAAAAACGCAAAGAGAGAGAGAGAGAGAGAGAGAGAGAGAGAGAGAGAGAGAGAGAGAGAGAGAGAGAGAGAGAGAGAGAGAGAGAGCGAAAGTGAAAGGGGTGGGGTGGGTAGAGAGAGACGAGACACACAGAGTGACATATAGACTGACAGATAGACAGACAGACACATAGATAGATAGAAAGATAGATAGATAGATAGATAGATAGATAGATAGATAGATAGATAGATAGATAGATAGATAGATAGATAGATAGATAGATAGATAGAACAACAGAGGGACAAATGGGTCTCATGGGTACCTCTGTCCACCTTCTATATCTCTATAACTGTTGCGGACGTTGTTTCAGCCTTCGACGCCCTGCGGAAGTACGCTTACCGGCCGTTTTCAGACGACAGTGACGTGAACTCCATAGACCCCAGGACCTACCTGTGGATCCGAAAGTTCCTGGACGAGGCTAAAGCTCAAAGGAAAAACGTCACACTCGTGCCAACGTGGGTAAGTAGTATTAGTATAGTATAAGGTTTTACGGCGCTCGCAACTGCTAAGGTCATATGAGCGCGCGAAACACAAGTTGTTCACCTAACGTGGGTAAGGGAAAGACTACAATCTCGAGTGTGGTGAGAACGTTTGTTTCAGCGGCCCATGGGGGCGCGGGCTTAGAGCTGTTCCCGTCGTTTTATGCAAGAAAAATTCTGAAATTATGGAAACTGAGCCCAAAAATGTGAAATTATGCGATTCTGTTAATTTTATCAAAGAATGATAAAGGTAAATAATCAGAAATTCTGCAAAAAATAATCAAATTTTGCTAAATTATGCGGGGTGCATAAAACCACGGGGACAGTTAGAGAGAGAGAGAGAGAGAGAGAGAGAGAGAGAGAGAGAGAGAGAGAGAGAGAGAGAGAGGAGAAGGAGAGAGAGAGAGAGAGAGAGAGAGAGAGAGAGAGAGAGAGAGGGGGGAGAGAAAGAGAGAGAGAGCGAGGAGAAAGAAAGAGGAGAGATTGAGAAGAAATGCGAGAGGGAAGAGAGGGAAGAGAATAAGAGAGATAGAGAGAGAGGAAAGAGTAACAGACAGACAGAGAGAGAGACATACACATACATACATAAATAAACAAACAAACAAACACACACATGATAACACTCAAGCGCTCATTATCGAGGAAATAAAAACAAAACAAAACAACAATCTACTGAAACAACTTGAACAGATGGGTCACGGGAAAAGATCAGGACAAAGCAATTTTTTTATTTTGTTTTTTGTTGTTGTTGTTTTGGGTTTTTTTTTTGGGGGGGGCGATGATATTTTTTAAAGAACCCACGAGGAAAATTGAGTCTTGATCGCCAAGATCTGTTTATGATTTGGAACTTGATGAATAATAATGATAAATAATAATATGTATTTTGTGTCCCCTGTGTTTTGAGATTTCTAGTTTAAGTGGACACCGGCACGTACATAACTGATTTGGAAATTTTCACACTCCTGAAAATTTGCAGGCTTTGTTCAAGCTAGTTTATTTGTTATCAATCATAATGGTGTCTAATTGAGTGTCGAAGTAACCGCATTTGTCGTTTCCTGGTTTCTTTTATAAATTGTCCATTTAACATAAAAACATAGGGGTTTTTAAAAAAAAATAATTTTGTTTCCACTTATTTTGAGCCGTACGATTTTTAATGCATGTAGATCTATATAACAGTAATCCTGATTTGTCTTTCAAGCAATTTTTTTTCGACTTAATAGATTAATGTCAAAGGGCACTTCTCCTCGGTACGGGTGGCTTTTTTTCTGTATACATTCATGTAATGTTGAAAAATGAACATATGTGAGACGTGCTGACAAAATGAGTTACTTCTCATATTTTAGCCCTGTAGAAATAGATATGTGAAATTGATCAGCTGAGTTTTTACAATTCACTTGTTGGAAATAATAAAAGACAAGGTAAACTTGAAGAAAATGACATCAGTTGAGAGTCTACAAATTTACTCCTTTGTTGATTTTCTGCCGATATCTCCGTTTGTGAAGTGCGAGAAGTAACTCATTTTGTCAGCACGTCCTACATATGTATTTCATAGTAGATTCTATTTTACTTTGTTAGGTTCAAACAGGCAATATCCCTTTTGAACACATGATAGTTGTATGCTTCCAAAACCAAAGAATTTTGAACAAGCGTGGAGTCATATAATTATAGAAAGAAAAAAAAATAAGAGTACACTTTCTCTATTTCTTTCAAATACAAAGTATGGCTACATGGATTGTTGTGAGCTTTGTTGCATTATTATAAGCCGTCACATTATTTTGGCTCAATAAGTTATTAGTTAATAATGACAAAGAGAAAACATTGTTGACTAATATTCGGGCCAAAACCATCCTTTTTATACTGTTGATTTAAGACAAATTGATTCAAGATTACTTATAAAAATTTGTCCCGGCACTCAAAAGTTATCGGCAAAGGAACAAAAATCAAAACCAAC